GAGGTTCACGAAAGTGAGGCGGGGGGGGCAGAGGGAGAGAGAGAGAGAGAACAGGGCCCGCGCGGTAGCCCTGCGTGGCTGACTGGTCGCCCTCCCTTCCCTGCTGGCCTCAGTCAGTCAGTCAGCCGGTCGGTGCTCGTTCGCCCAAAGGCCGCCAGGCAAGAGTGCGCGAGCCCGGCCCTCCGTCTCCGCTTCTGCACATGCTCGCGCCGCTGAAGCGCCTTCGCTTAGTAGGCATGTGCGCAAAGGAGGCTCGCACATGCCCATTCGGAGCTATAACAGTTAACTGTCATGGTTACTACTACGACTCCTACGTCTACCTATTATTATTGTTGCTGTCGCTGTTGTTGTTGTTGTTATTGCTCCTAGGCCTCCGTTGCCGCCTCAGTCGCAGACCCGGCTGGTTTTATTATATGTCAGGGAGGAAGCCTTAAGAAATGGGCAGTTTGTATCGGGTGCTGTAGTAAAGCCACGGCTGACACGGTCAAAGCCCTGGGGCTGTAATTAGCAGGGATTTCCAGAACTGGCCACATTAGTCCGGAGGAAAAACAACAACACGGCCTTGGATTTTTTCCCCATACAGCACGGATTTTGTGAAGTCCCCATGTGGTAATTTAAAATATAGTGGAGGTTAAATGGCCAATTAAGGCCCATTAACTTTGCAGAAAGCCCTCCTGGTGGAAATGAAAAGTGCTAGAATTGGTTTGCTGATATGAATGAGCCGCCTGACTCTGTTTATCCATCCACCCCAGGAAGGGTGGGTGTGAGGATTGTCATGACGAGTCCCTACACTTCAAAATTCACCACTAAAAAAGAGTTTACAGTGTATATCTTTCTATAGGTGTAGATTTAAAATCAACACCTTATGTTGTGTACATTATTTGTGTAGTTGGGTAGGCAGAATAGAGCTCCCTGGGTGTTGGTGAACTGCAACTCCCATCAGCACAGGAATGTGGACAGATGCTGACATGCCAGATAACATTATGAGGATTGCATTTTGCCCACCAGTGCTCTAGGGATAAAGTTGTGAAGGTGAGGGAGATAGAAAATAAAAAAAGAAGGAAGTTTGGGAAGCACTATGGTTGTTGCACAGGGTTGCCTTTTTTCTTTCTTGGCAAATCTTAGCCTCTGCTTTTATATCTTTATATATTTTGTAATCTGTTATGACACCCTTACATGGTTTGTAAAATAAAATTTAACACCAGCAGGCTAGGCAGCAATTCAACAGGCACAGGGAACACCTTGTGTTCTTTAAATAATCTAGAGCAAAGGTGCAGTAGAGGAAGAAATTTTCACCTGTCACAGAAGGAATATGAGTTTTGGATAGAGGCCATTTGTCACTTGGAGGTGGAGTACTATATATTATACAATACAAGGAACTATTGTATAAGACTTATTAGTAGAACTGCTCCTTTTCATACATGTTGATGGCAAGTATTTCATCACTGAGGGTTGGAGTAGATGACTTGTGGAACCCTTCCAGCTCTACAATTCTGTGATTCATTTTTTGGTATTCAGCTTGGTGATAAAGCACTATAGCTTGTTATATTTGTGTGTGTGTGTTTTTAAATACCCTATCAAGATAAGAGAAGGAGACAAGCTCTATTCCAAATGCCAGCACCCTATTTTGTAACATGTGAAACAAGGCATGATATATCTTCAGACTATCCCAAAGTTCAGATTACCAAAGAATTTTGGGACACAAGGTAGTGGCCAGTGTCAGAAAGCTGCATCACCAGAGGTCATGGGTCTTCCAGCAGGACAATGACCCAAAACACACTTCAAAAAGTACAGTACTCAGAAAAGGCTACGAAAAAAGTGCTGGAGAGTTCTGAAATGGCCAGCAATGAGTCCAGATCTGAATCCCATAGAACACCTGTGGAGAGATCTCAAAACAGCAGTTGGGAGAAGGCATCCTTCAAATCTGAAGGCCCTGGAGCAGTTTGCAAAAGAAGAGTGGTCAAAAATTCCAGTAGAGAGGTGTAAGAAACTCATTCATGATTACAGGAAGCGATTGATTTCAGTTCTTTTTTTCCAAAGGGAGTGCTACCAAATATTAAGGGTGCCAATAATTTTGGCCAGAGCATTTTTGGGGTTTCTCTCTGGGATTGTATCAGATTTGACTTTTCTTCTCTGGGTTTTTTTGTGTTGTTCCAATGCAAACCAAAGAAATTAACATGTGAATACCAAAACATTTGCAATGGCAACAATTTTCTGAGAGAACGGTTGCATTTTCTGACAGAATTGCAAGGGTTCCAATATTTTTGGCAATGACTGTATATTTTATTCTAATTGTAAATAATTTCAGTCACTGATCAATCTGATGCGTAGTCATTGATACATGCAAATGTATTTGTATATGGTTTGTATACTTTCAGATTTTTTCCTTTTATGTTTGATTCTGACAGCCATCAGTTAGACAATCCATTCCATTGTATTTTTGTGTTATTGGATTGCATTCATATTCTTTTAAAAGTTTGGGGCAAAATCCAGGGTTGTTATTTTTCGCCCTGGCTCTTCACAATAACCCAATGAAAATGGCTGGGCTATGATCACTAGCCCAAGATCACTGGAAAAAAACAGTGGCAGAGATTTGAACCCAAGTCACTTCAGTTTTAGACTAAATCTCTAACCTAGGAGTAAGCATATTAAGCCCTTCAGATATTATTGGACTGTAACTCTTATCAGCCCTAGCCGGCATAGCTCATGGGAAAGATGAAGGGAGTTGCAGTCCAACAGCACATTAAGCTTTGCATGTTCTCTATCCTCTGCACTACACTAAGCCAGCTATTTCCTTATTATATTACTGAACTTCAGGAACAGAATCATATGTGTTTCAATTCGGGTTGCAGCTTTGTTTTGTGACTTAGAAGATTTAAAGATGATATGATCAGGGTACTGTTTCAGAGCAATGCCCTGGAAGCCCTGATTGCCAGTTCAACTGGTGCCTATAACCTTACGTGTTAAAAAGCTACTTTTTGACCTGTCTATAAACTGTCATGGATGTTATAATTCACCAGTCCCGTTGTTTACAGTTTACACTGACAGGGATAATGTGCTAAGGCTGCTGATCTCATTTCAAGAACACTTGTGTGTGCTCATCCACAAAAGAAACAAAATCCACAATCTGCAGCTGGGCAATATCTTTATGGTATTAGGATCAACTATAAATTCACAAAATATGCAAGCTTTTGAGTTCTCCAGAATTCTAGATCAGGCTAAATGCTAGGATGGAAATAGAAAAAAAGGCCAGTTGGATAATATGGAAATCCAAAAAGGAAGAAGAAAGCTATGTGCATTAAGCCTTGAAAATCTGTAACAAAACAGTTCCTAGTTTCCATTTTGAGACTGAATATGTGTAGTTGATCCTAATAAAAGTATTACTCACCTGTGAATTCTAGGTGCTCATGTGTGCCTGTTTCCTAAAGAGTTAGTTTCTTTTCTTTGTCTTTGTGCTGTAGAACTGTGCTATTGCTAGGTTAATCCATTACTTATCCCTTCTTGTTAAAATATGTATGTGGGTTCCCAAGCCCTCCACAAGCAAGGAGACATCAAAGGGGCCTGTGGAACTGGTCATCTCCATGCAGGGCAACAGCCAATATAGTAAACTGAGGATTTTATTCAGGAATTACATACAGGGGTTAAGATTTTCTTCACTGACTTGTTCCTTCCTGGACTCTTAGCTTCCCAGATCCTTGTTTTCTTGAACAGGATGATTCAACTGCCATGCCAGTTTCAAAGTCTCTGAGTGGTTCTCTTCAACCCCAGTCCTTCAGCCTCCTTGCTCTTTCTCACATTCTTCTTTGGCACAGAGGTCTCACTTGAACTTTTTGAATTGTCATTCCCACTGTCAGCACCGGAGTTGCATAGACGTCAGGGTTGGAGCAGATGGGATTTGGCTAGGTACTACCTGAGCAGACCCAGTTTGCCCCACCATAGGCTCAATGTCTTCCTTGTTTAAGAGTCCTCTTGCCCAATTGCAGTGGCCTGCTAAGTGTTGGAACTCAAGGAAGGACAGTCTGGGGTGAGATTTGTATAGCCATAATATGAAAGGACCTTAAGGCACCATACTGTAGATCTTCAAACTGCTCCAAAAGATCATATGTCTTCCTTCTTTTCTTCTCCAATCTCCTCTTCCTTGCCTTTCCACCTTTTATATTGCCCATTATCCTCAAAGGTTCTGTAGCTTCCCCATCTCCAGGAACTTCTGAGCTCTGGACAGCTGCTTATGAAGCCCCCAGTCAGAGCTTCTCCTGTCTCATGTAGTGCTCTGGGAAAGGATGCCACACATAGCCCTCTTTTAAACTGCTACTTGAAGGCGTTGTGTTCTCTTAGTCAAGGGATTAAACAGATCCCAACCTCTGGTGTAAAATAAGATGCTTGTTACATTTTCACCACTTGAATTCATCTTAATTGTCACCAGTTCCATTCCTTTTTTGCCTGTCAAGAGCAGAAGGGAATAGATTAAAAGGAAGAGGAGGGGGCCTATTATTTGTTTGTTTGTTTGTTTGTTTGTTTGTTTGTTTGTTTGTTATCTTGCCACAAGACCACTCTGGACAGTTTACACTCAATGTATTATTTATTTAATATGCACCCACTCTACCCAGAGGTCTCTGGGCGGCTTACAATAATTATGCAGAATGACGCAGATAACTCAGGCAGCAAGTACAAAGGAATGGGGTATAGTCAAGGGCCATGTGTCACATGGCCTGCTACTGCAAAATTATTCTGCTGTTTTCTGATGTAGCAAAGGATGCCATTTCATTGTCTGTGGTGAGGTTCAATTGCCAATCTAGTTGGCTTTTTTAAAATGAA